AAACATCCCAGCAGTAGACTCAATTGGTATCCTTCTGGAATGTTGCAGTAGCAGAGGTAGACGATGTGAGGCATTTTCTCAAGGATATTACTTTCGCAATCATTTCAGTTCCACATGCCTGATTCACCACTGCTTGTGTATTCATTTGTACTTGTTCAAAGGGAATGAAATTCGGTTTTAAAATACTCTCAAATTACTGCAATACTCATTTTACATAGTGAAAGAACACGACAATAAAGTGGGTAATCCGGCTCTCACAATTTCTTAAGGAAAAGTGAAATGTTGCTTGGAGAACAATGAAAGTCAAGGTTCACCTGTAGAATGCTTCCAAGAGTGTCCTACAGGACAAATCGCGGGTCAAACACGTTTTACAGAGAGGGCACCTTGTTAATTGCAGTGATGCTGGAATGAGGAGATGACAGAAGGATTAGAGTAGCATGTGAGAACCTAGTTTAACTGGAGAAGAGTAGACAGCTGTTGTCGATGGAAGAGAGTCAGCTCTTCTGGAGAGCACTTCATCGCAGGAAACACGCTGGAGTGCTCTCAGGCACTCTCAAGAGAAGCCCTTCTCTTTCTCCTTACTACAGAGGGACCGTAGGAACCTTTATGTGCTAAAAGTGGGATGGAGGAAACACCTCCTCCAACTAAACTCCCAGCACTGAAGGTGCTCATTGAAAACGTAGGAAAGTTCAGTTTATTTTTCTAAGAAAGTCTGAGTACTCATCATGCTTCTCTGCCGAATGCCTTAATCACTTCCTGATACTTTGGAGTTAGGCTTGCCACCTTGTCTGCTTTTGCTGTTCATAGAATCATAGAATGGTTTGGGTTGGAAGGGACCTCGAAGATCATCTAGTTCCAACCCCGCTGCCATGGGCAGGGACACCCTCCACTACACCAGGTTGCTCAAAGCCTCATCCAACCTGGCCTTGAACACTTCCAGGGATGGGGCATCTACATAAATAGAAATAATTATGCAAAGGCTAGAACTTAGGTGTTCTCTCTTCTGATGATTTCTGTAGTCTTTCTAATCTGTCTAATCTGCCGTGACAAATACTTAGTTGTTTCGTTATGGTGTGCAGTAGTGTAGATAGTTTTGAAATGTCAATAAGCAATTTGCCCTCTCACGTGGTGTCCCAGTCAGCAGTTCCCAAGAGCTCCAAGGAGCTATATGTCTCTAGGATTTTAACCCACTGGGATATTTTGAAACAAACATTTCTGTTACACATAGTGACAGGAAGACTCAGGGAGTTTGATGTGCTGGGTTAGGATGAGATGTTGAGCTCTACACCTCAGTTCTCCTTTCCAATTCTAGTCTGTGCTCAGAAGACTGTAAAAAGAGAAAGACTGTTTACAGCACCAGTTAAGAGTCATCAGTTCTTTTGTAACCTGAAGATTGAGGGAAATTCTTAGCATACACTGGTTTAAGTAACTTCTGGAATCGCAAATATCTCTTTTAACATCTGTAAGGCAACTGCTTCTTTGCAACTTTAACTCCTTGTGGACTTGATAACATTGTGTTTCATATCTTTAGGGGTAGGAAGTGCTCTCTTCAAGGTAAATTAATGCTGATCACTGAACTTTCTGATCAGTCTGGCATCTGGGAAGTACTTGGTCAGCTGATGTCCATTTACTGAGAATGCACTGTGTAAGCCCCATTGGGATTTCTAAGGCTGTATTCTTACAGCTCTTTGTAGGTCACTGGTGACGATGATGATGGGACTTGCAGGCAGTTCTCAAGACTCCTCAGACTCCTTCAACAGTCTTCTGAGTTAGAACTTTACTTCAGAGATCTATTATCTTTAGTACATGCTGGTTTTTAACTAGCTGGACTGATGCTTTATCCTTTGTAGGAGAGGCATTTGTATTTCCATTCAACAAGGTTATAGGAGTTGTTCACTAGCTTCCTTAGGGAAGTGTTCTGATCTAGGTGTCCGAAGAACTTCTGAATCTCTGCTTGGATTTCACTAGAGCACATGGTGTAACTATTATCCCTGGGTATAATGTTTAGATTGATGGTATTTCATAATACTATTAAGATGTGATCATTCAGCTCTCCATAGTGTCTACATATTATTATCTTATTTTTATCAGGTTTCTTGTCTGTATTTACATAACTATGCCAAGCTACCTAGACTGATGAAGTTGAACTCCATTCTTCAAGTGTGATTTACTGAATACAGCCTAAAATCATGATGAAAAAGAAGAGCATATCTGCAAGCAAAGCTTCCTTGGTCCTCTTTCTGTGCCAAATGATTTCTGCATTGGATGTACCTCTTGACTGTAAGTATTAACCTGCTAGATGAGTGCAGAATAATGGAAGTTTAGTTAAGTAATTTCTGTATAGGAAGATGAAGATAACTCCAACATGGAGTGTGTTCTCACTTCAGTCAGGACATTGTGATTATGAATACTTACACTAATTTACTGAAGATTTTCAAAAACTGTGTGTATAAAATGACTTGTTCACTTGAGAAGGATTAACATAGGATTCTCATGAATACTCACACTTCAGTGTGCCTTTACTGAATACTTTATTTGATGAAAATGAAGAAAGACAAAGAAACCCAGTTAAATGCTAATTATTTGTGAAATCAAGATCATATTCACAATTTGCTGAAAACCCCAGGACAATTCCTAGTTGCTGGAAACAATCACCCTTTTCTTCATATGAGAGGTTTCCAGGAGCTGATATGAGATATAGTAAGAGATTCAAATACCTAAAATTCAAGAAGCATCTTACTTTTTGATCCAGAAGAGTAAGTTAGGCTCTTAGATTTCCTAAGCAGTGCCTGAAAACAGTTAAGAACCTAACTTTAAGTTAAAAGCATGTGTGCTGAGCAGGGAGCTCTAGCATTAAGCAGTGAAGAAGCATCTAGAAGAGGGGAAATCTCAAGATCTGAAATTCTTGTCTGATAAAAGACTGTGTTAGTGGGAAACCTTGAAGGTAGCACTCTGTGATGGAAAGGAAGCAATGACAGCGACTGCGTTTTATAGCCTTAATAGGTAATTTTATGAAATTATTTGTGCTTCCGGTTGTTATTTTCTTCTTAAGATAAGCATGATCACATTTTCAGAATTCATTGGACCATGTTGCTCTTCACAGTGACTATTCATTTGTTAAGCTAATTACCAGAGAAGTAATTAGGGCTGGTGTTAGATTGATGGATTAATACATCAGTAAATTTGCCTATGATTCTGATCCTCATGGCTTTCTTTACCCCCATGTTTTTGATACCTTCCTACCTTCCATAAATGCATGTTTTTCTTCAATAATCATTGACATAAATTGCAACTGCTTTGGTGTTTTTTTCTCCATACGTATTTAGCAGCTTTTCAAACCAATGACCTGTATTTGTATTAGAAGATCAATATATCTGAATCACATCAGATTTGTGCTGTGAATGCCTTTAGAGCAATAAACTGTGGCTTAAAGAGGGCTTTAGAAGTTTGATGAATTAATGTTCATTTTTTAAACTTAATTTTTCTCCCTAAATATTTTTGCAGACTTGAAATAGCATTTTATACCCATCTTGTAATTTAGAAACTAATGTGAATTGTGCACCGCTCTAATATCTTGTATAGAGCAACACTTAAGTTTAAATTAACAAGAAATGCATCAATAGAAAAAATGAGTAGCCCTTTTAGATGTGTCACGTTAACTCTTAATTAACATGTTACCTACTACATAATATTTAATAACTTTATTAGGTCTGATAAAGTTACGTACTTGAATTTTTAGCCAAAAATCATATTAACCAGAGTTACATCTGTAATGATGTTATTGCTTTCATAAGTAATAGTTAGAATGAGCTCTGGGAGAGCATCACGAGGGAAGGACTTATATTTTCTGAGTCTTCCCTACATACCCACCACAGAGACCTGGTGTTGAGAACATACTTGATTAGTTGAACCTTTAGGTTTTATCCATGTTAGAAGTTCCTGTGCGCACCCGTATCTCAAAGTAGGTAAGGGATGACTGACAAGGTAGTTGACCCAAAGCAGTTTGATTTGCTCTAAAACATTATGAATGAGGAGACGTGGATGCAAAACATTTGAAGTAAGCAATAAAGATGTGACAACTAAGATGATTTTTTGTTGTTATTATTCAAACCAAAGACATTGCATGTCTGATGAGTAGAATTAGGTGCTTTCGTCTTTTTAAGAGTAACTTTAGCCTGAAGCATTCTCTTTGTTCTTCCATGTGATCATATGGGTGGATTGATTTTGACTGCAGCATGAGGGCACTGCACTCCATTAATTCTGATTTGCTGTCTCCTCAGTGTCAGTGTTTTGTGTCCTTGCAAGGCCAAAATCACGTACGATGGTTGCCCTTAAAAAGTCAACACTTCAGAAAAGTTACTCATACTATGAACTTTGAGATAAATGGAGTAATATCTGATAAAATGGAAATCGTGGCTGGAATTTTAGGCTTCACTGCATGGCTTCCAGTGTTAAGTGTTTTAAATGTTTTCTTTTTAATGGTGACCAATGTACTTCTCACAGATACTTATCTTCCCTCTCAAGACGGCTAATTTTCTTTTAACTAACAAATGTTTCTCTTTAATCTCCATTTGTCCGTTCAACTGCTGATTCTGATGGGGGAATAAAAGCAAAACTTCTAGAAGAATGTAAGTTCCTGTCCACAAAAACTAGGCTGTGTGCTGCTAAAAATTAATACTGATTGTGTTGCAAATTGAATTTGCAGTCCAAAAATGTGTGATTCTGACATTTTGATAATTTGGTTTGCTGTAGCTAGATGTTTTGTGCATGCAGTGTTCAGAAAATACTACTGTGCATAAATCAGTGTTCTGATATTTTTAAACAAATTAATTGTGTGATTTTTGATTGTGTACTATCCGAACATTAAAATCCTTACTTAATATCAGCATGAGCAATGTTTTACTGCTACTTTCAGGAGTAAATATGTTTGATAAAAAATAAATTCATTGCCATATATGTACTTACATACTACTTTACATGTCCGAGTTGGAAATATTTTTATATCCTTAAAAAACAGTGGATACAGTTGTTTAAGTAGACCTCAGTTTTTACAGGATCTCCTAACTCAGTTCTAGTGTCATGATTAATTTAATAAGTTTTAAGTGCAGTGCATAGCACAGGAGTGGAGACTTGAGTTCTTTGATGTGCATCGGCTGGAATATCCTGTATGTTGGATAGTGTTCATGTCACGTCCCTTTTTAGAGTGCGCTTGATTTTCCCAAGTAAGCACCTGACATGTACTGACTCCTAGAACTGCCTCTGAGAGGGAACAGGATTGTCTTCAAATTGTCTCTTCAAAGACATACATAAGAATCTTAATATCATAAACAGGATCTTTTAAATGCAAAAATGGTTGTAGAAAATGGTAACAGATTGTAAATTACTTTAAAAAGGTAGGCACCAATTACTTTGTCAGGTAGATAAATTCCGGTTTGTGCTACCCATTCTAGGGTACTTGATAGATCATAAATGTTAAATGTTTGTTTTTCCTGAGGCAATTCACAAGATTGACTATGTTTTTGTTGAGTTTTTTAAGGAGCATCAGTGCTAGACTTTTCCTATGTGTTTACTGTATTTGGAAACTAGTTACTATTTTTGTAATTTTTTACAGAGTCTTTTACTCCTAACACATTTTTTACTCCTGAAAAGTAGCTCCTAAAAGCATGCTTTGTAGATTAGTTCAATACATTGAGTACAATAAATATGTGAAAAGTTTACTCCCATAGAGAATTCGGAAATACGTTAAACATTTAGAAATACAAAGCGATTTTTCCTTTTCCTTCTGTGTGATAAAAAACATTTTGTGTGGCTACATGTCTCACAACTGTTCCTTCAGGATATGTTCGACTTAGAATTCCAGTATGCTTTGATTTTGTGAAAATCTGTTGAAATCTGATGTATATTATATCCATTAAACTTTTTGGCCAAGATCGTCATCCACTGTAAATCAGCATAGCTCAGTCGAAAGTTAGTGTAACTACACTTATTTACAAGAGTAGAGGGCTTCAGCCTTGTAATACAAAGGATACTTTAATCCCACTCTTCTGTTGATGATTTGGGTGCTAGTTGCAATTCTGCCTTCTCTGCTTACAAAACTGTCTTGCTGATACTTTGAAAATATTGTTAAATTCCTCTCTATTTCTCTATTCCATAATGAAGTGTCGCAACCGCCTACGATAACTCAGCAGTCTCCAAAAGATTACATTGTTGACCCTCGAGAGAATATTGTAATACAATGTGAAGCAAAAGGAAAGCCACCTCCTAGGTTAGTAGCATTTTGTTTTGCTTTTGCTGGCCTAACAGCGTAGGAAAACTCGGAGAAAATAATGTAATTTTGTACACTAACATGTATATGCGTATGTGTGTACTTACACACGCGGAAACGTGCGTGCACGTGTTACATTACCTTTGTAATTTAAGCAGCTACGAGAGAGTGGCGTAAATCTGACTCTTCTCATCCTTGATGCTTAAACTTTTCTATGGTCATCAAGTAACTGTAGTATTTTTTTTTCTTCTCAAAGCTCTAACAATAAAATAATACTTGATTGTCACAGGAGCAGATAGTGCTTTCTATCGGCACGTACCTGAGAGCCAAGCCATACTATGAACTGAATCACATTCCAGATTTAGGCATAGTGTCTAAGAAGACCAGATATTGAATAAATTTAGAGTTACTCTAATAAATTCAAATTTTAATCGTAGAATCATAGAAGTCATGGCATAGGCTGGAAGGGACCTCAGAGATCATCTAATCCAACCTCCCTGTCATGGGCAGGGACGCCTCTCAACTAGACCAGGCTACTCAAGGCTCCGTCCAACCTGGCCTTGAACACCTCCAGGGAGGGGGCATCCACAGCTTCTCTGGGCAATTTATTCCAAAGTCTTACCACTCTCGTACTGAAGAATTTCTTCCTAAGATCTAATCTAAATCTGTTCTCCTTCAACTTAAACCCGTTTCCCCTTGTCCTATCAGTGGACACTGTTGTAAAAAGACTCTTGTTAATGTTTTGTAAACTCTTGTTAATGTTAACTCCTGTTAATGTTTTGTAAATCATTCTGTTTTATGAGGCTAATCTGGAAATACGTTAGCATTTTGTTGGAAGTTATGTAATGTGTATCAGTTTTAATGATAGTAGCCTTGATTTACCAAGTGTATTTAATAGCCTTAATATTTGATTTTAGTGGAAGTGGTGACCCTGTGTATAGATCAGATTCCTGCTCGTCTTCCATTTTAAGGCCCTATTTCAGTGTCTTGAAATATTAAAAAACTACTCATTTCAAGATACTGAGTACCTGCACTGAAAATAGCAGTAGCCGTGATGCATTCTGGCATTGCTAGTCTCTGCTTCTGATTTCAGAGACTGTAAAGAGAAACGTGCATCTCTGTTCTCAGTGGTGTTGTGCTACAACTTCAGCAAGGTCAGTCTATAATTGCTCACTCAGACACACGCAGAGCTCATTAAACATACTTCTTCTGAATAAACAGGGTTTTTTCTACCTTGTTGCTTCTGGTTGCCTTGGGATCATGGTCATTATCATGCTGAGCAGCAGAATGGAGAAGATGGAGATTATCTGTGATTGTGTCACCCTTTCTAGTGTTCTCTTAATGGCAGGAGTGCCATAAAGCTGTTGTGTTTACCAGCATTTTAATTTAGCAGGCACCGTGCTGTTCTTAAGAGCCTGGGTGTTGACCTGGAGGATCAGATGATTATTGTGCGCTTTGGGACAAGTGTACTGCTTCTTCTAACGTTTCTCTTGAAGACCTTTTTTCAGTCGGATTTACCTGAGAGACTAAGAGCACTGTCTGTGACACTGACATATCTGAGTCATGTGCCAGGGCTCTCCGCTGTACAACCTCATCTTTCCCATCAAGCCTGTGTCTTGCTTTGTTCCTCTGCTTCAGAGGAAGTCACAGGATTTAAATGCAGAATTTTCAAATGACTTTTACAAACTTATGCTTAATTTTGCTTATTTTTAAAGACATGACATCCAAATAATTTATTTCAATAATTAGCCTAGTCCATCAGTCTTGGATGACCTGCAAATGCGTATTGCAACTTGAGCTGTTTCAAAGCTCTGAAGTCGAAGATAAACTTTCTCAGCCCAGAGTGTGAATTATTTGTTAAAATAGGGTAACTTCTTATTGGTGAGAGCAGCTGGTCTAAAGGTTTATGGATGTGCTGCTACATATACCTTGAGCAGCAAAGGGTCTGACTTTCATGTATCTCAAATTCAGGGCTTAGTACCACATTTGTCACCTCTCATTTGAAGCTACAGTACAGTTCCCTGTATCCTGCGGTGTCATTGGTAGCAGAGGATTTCATGACCCTCACGTTCCGCAGCTTCGCTTGCAAGGTTTTAAGAAACAGGTTCACCGTTGATTCGCTATGCACACTAGTCCTCCCAAAACCACAGCGGCGTGGTGCAGTGCTGCTGGTCAGGTCCAGTTCTTCTGCTCTCCCCCACCACAAAGTGCAAATAGTGTGTCCAGTCTTGCCCTCCTACTGCAGAAGGCCAGCACCCAATTTGAGTCACGTAAAATTTGAGCTTTTCTACTACCGTATATGTTTATGCTTTTAGGAAACGTTCTGAACTATATAAGTGCATATAGTGTTGGTGTTTAAGATTATGAAGCTGAAATGTAACGACTAGGAAAACTACTGTTTACAACATTTGGACCCGTGAGTGCTCAGCACTTCACAGGCGTTGGACCAGCTCTCCGTAACTGTACTTTTGGCCATTAACAAAGCATAAGGAAGAAATTGGTCTTTACAGTAGTATAAGTTGCTGGCTGTGAATCTCTGCTTTTTACTTTTTTTTAATGAGTTCTCATAGTCTTCATTTTTAGTGACTACTTTTCGAAACATCTCTTGCTTTGAGTAACACCAGTATAAATTTACTAGATTAATCATGGGCTATCAGACTGCAAAATTTCATTTAAACAATCATGGCTGTTTGCATTAGAGGAGTGAAAAGAAATCGAACTCACCACACAGTCTTTGATTCACTTGCATAACTTTAAAATGGCCAAACCAATTAAAAGAAATGGTCTCCTGCTGGGACCTGAGATGACACATTTCAGCCCACAGCAAGTTTTTAAAGGCAGGTTTATAAACCCTTTCAACAATAGGTTTATAATGGAAATGCTAATGCAGCTTTAGCAATATCAGCTCTTGCAGATGTTACTGTATCATCTTTAGTACAAAGAAAATCAGTTCTTTTCCATTTACAATTGACTTCAGAATCTTATAATGGAGGTTTGGTTGTTTGTTTTTTTTTTAAATATTGACTTTGAAATGGCTCCTGTTAACAAGTTTAGTCAAGCCTTTCATCTTAAAGTATTGCCAGATTTCTTATATTTAAAAGTACTCTATTACTTTATTAGTTAATTTAGTTTGGGAACAAGTCTTACTTACCTGCTAAAGAAAAAATACCATATGTTATTGAAAATTGCTTTTTTCCTCTTTCTTTCCATACAATCTACAAAAGCACTGAAGAAGAAACTTTTCTTTTTATTTTATTATTTTAGCTTCTCCTGGACACGCAATGGAACTCATTTTGATATAGATAAAGATGCACAGGTAACAATGAAACCAAATTCAGGCACCCTTGTCATAAATATTATGAATGGTGGGAAGGCAGAAGCATATGAAGGAGTGTACCAGTGTACAGCAAGGAATGAACGAGGAGCGGCCATTTCCAACAATATTGTTATAAGGCCTTCTAGTAAGTGAAGCTTTTAATGTTTGTAAAATGTGAAACACTTCAGTTTGCATATTTTCTTATGAACGTTTTCCTTTTTTTTCCCCATCTTAAAAATTTAATCCTCAAAGTGGTCATGTTGGAAGGTATTATATAGTCTGATATTCAGATTTAATAAGATATTGCATGTTCTCTCCAATATTCCTTAGAAAATTTAATAACCGAATGCTTTCCTGATTTTGTTTTTTTTGGTACATGTGGATGACTTATCTTGTTTAAAATTGGGTTGTATATATGACAATACAATTAGAATAAAATGTTTAAATTGTTACTACACATCATTGATAAGGGCAATTTTTATTCTGTTTCTGATGCATGTATTCCATAGTTTTTGTAATAGCTTTAATACAAAACAGATCGGGATCAAAACCAAGATAAAGCTAAAAAATTTTGATTAATGGTAGACTGTTTCTACAGCATTTTATGTGTTTTTTTTTCTCAGATGAGTTTTTCAAGCTTCTGAGCTTAAAATGTGCTGTTCTCACATATTTTAATAAAACTATGTGTGTATAATACTGTTTCAGGAAGGTCTACCTTTTTTCCTAATTTAGTGCATCACTTTTTTTTTTTTTGCATTATTGTAGTTAAAACTTTGCAAGACACTATTATATAGAACCTTTAGTGAGTAGCCAAAGTAATTTGAATCAGTTGATTTTACTTTCAGCAAATCATTGCTGTAAAAGATGTTTTAAAGAAAACCTGCTTTTCTCCCAAGAAAACATAAAGGAGAAAAATGTTTAGTAAACCTGATAGGACTTAACATTGATTCATGTAGTTCTTCTGTTTTTCTGGAATATTATGTGCATTTCTTCCTTAAATTCTAGAGTTTTTGTCAATCCATAGTTTGTATGTGTGTTAAAATTACTTTCTATAGGATCCCCTTTGTGGACGAAAGAAAAACTAGAACCAAATCAGGTTCGAGAAGGTGATTCATTAGTACTACACTGCAGACCTCCTGTTGGCTTACCACCACCTATAATATTTTGGATGGATAATGGTGAGTTTAGTTTTTATGCAGAATTAGTTTATTTTTTGCAATTTTTCTACATAGTTGATCCTTGTTTACCAAGACCACAGATGGTGGAGTTTCCCTCTCAGTTAAAATTGAAAGAATTTCCATTTCTGTAGAAACGAAGAAAAAGCAGACATACAGCCCAAAAGCACGAAGCCAAAAGCAGCTGGAGATCTTAATGTAAGTTGTAGATTTAACACACTGGGGAAGAATGGGAAGATGAGGGAGCTCGAGAGGAAACTTAGACAGGTCTATATATTTATAAACCCACAAACGGCACGATCAAATGAATGTGGAGTCTGCAGATCAGAATAATAAAGTGTGTATTATAATTGAGATAAATGTTTTCTTGTTTTCCTTTAGCTTTCCAAAGGCTGCCTCAAAGTGAAAGAGTTTCCCAGGGTCTAAATGGAGACCTTTATTTTTCTAATGTACAACCAGAAGATACCCGAGAGGACTATATCTGCTATGCGAGATTTAATCATACGCAAACTATACAGCAGAAACAACCCATTTCTGTAAAAGTCTTTTCAAGTAGGTATTGCAATACCTGATTACGTACTTCCAGAGTATTTATCCAGAAGTCTCAAGTTTTTTGCCGAAGTTAAGTTAAGTAGTGTTACACTAGGGAATTTTGTCATTTTATTTCTCAGTAAGAAATTACGTTGCTGTATAAACTTAAAATGTAATCTCCAGTATTCCTGACATAGAATTCATTTTAAAAGCTGTTATTTTTTTCCTTTATCAGGCTTTGTCTTTTAAAAATGTTTTGTAAAACTTGAAATACTGAAAAAAGTGTAAAAAATAGTAGTCTTCAAATGGTTTACATGTCCAAGAATATAAATTTATTATTATTATTGTAACTATTGAAACAAATTAATCAATCATTTGATTAACTCACTGCAGCCATATCATCATCTTTTGATTCCCAGTACTTTGATTTATCCCTCTTGTATGCATTCTTCATGATATTCTGTTTATTTCAGTGGATTCATTGAATGACACTATAGCTGCTAATTTGAGTGACACTGATATTTATGGTGGTGAGTTACACTGGTCCCCACTGATACTCCCTGTTTGACAGTAGCATTTAGTTAACTAACTTCACCTCCATGGCTACTTAACCTTTTGCTCCCTTTTCAGTTTCTAATAAAGGTATCTATTAGTGCTGGTGATAATACGTGCTTTAGAAAGCGACTGCACAGTGTGATCCTTTCAAATATTTAATATTTCAATGTTATTGTAACATATAGCTCATAAAAAATAAACTCTTATAATAAATGAGCCCTTTCACACTAGGGCAGATTTTTAAAATTGTCCATTTGATCGCTTCTATTCTGTGTTACTTTTTTATATTTTTCCTCCAATTTAACTAGTAGTTTGATATGTTCATTATCACTAGGACTATTCAATATCACATGCTGCATAATAAATAACAATAACTAGGCATTTAACAGATGCACTTCGCATTTAATAGTTTATTAAATATACCATTCATTTTTAATATATTTCCTAAGTGTAAAATCTAAACACTTTAATACTATCTGTATAGATTACTTTGTAGGGGAAAGATGAGTTTTGTTTGTCTGGTGTTTAAGCTGATCTTTACATTAATCTGTGTTGAATGGTGTTTTGTATATCGTGAATTAAATCCTCCGGAACAGATATATGTGTGTTTAGCGAGGCTGACTTTGGAGCAACACCGATACCGTAGCACTTGAGGTTCTAGATTCTCCACTTGATATTGTGTAAGATAGAAAATACATTATATTTTTTCTATTTTTGTCTTTTTCCTTGTCAAGTGAGGCTTTGTGCATATTAAACCATAATTTATGGGAATCTAAAATAAAACAAGGGCACAGAATATTTTAATTCTCTGCATAAAAGTAAAGTATCATTCAGGAACAAACAAGAAATTTATATCTGAATACAGAATGGTATGTTAACTGCAATTAGTGAGGAAAACACCTTTCAGCTGGTTCTCAACTCAGAAGTACCAGAGGTAATTCTGAATTTTCGTAGTCTTGCAAAATGAGTCAGCAGTCCTTAGCAGTGCCAAAACTGGGTAGACTAGTTATTGCCCATGACCATCGACTGCATTTTTCACTCTAGACCGCCCTTTTCTCCCAATTTTATGTTGTTGACGTACTAGTTTTTAAAGAATTCATAGCATATACTGTATTAAAATTAAGTATTCTATTTATGTTAATCTATCAGTAAATCCAGTACCCTAATAAAAGAGTTTCTGCTCACATTTAAAAAAAAATCAATAATTTACTGTAATGATTCAGACTGCTGCTGCACTTCAGAGCAATTTAATCCTATATTTTAAAATTGCTATAAAAGAATATTGGAGTATTTACAGAAAGCACTCTATGATTACAGAAAGCACTCTTATTAAGACTTCCATGAAGACATATGAAATACCCTAATACTTCAAAAGCCAACAGAGTATAATGTCAGAAATGGGTCTTATATTTATAGTTGTCTGTTTACTGTGGTTATTTCTTGTGGGTTAATCAATGGTTCTTTATTACCAGACTGAGGAACAGCTGGAATTCAAGTTAAATATACAGTAAGAGGAGGATACAAGCCTTAGCTTCTGAAAAGAAGCCTCATGTTGTCTAGAAAATGTTGAACAAAGCATATTGCAAAGTGGAATGTATCTTTCATCTCCTTGGTTTATATTTCTAAATACAATAACTTTGCTTTATTTGTGTTTTGATGGAAGCTTGGAAATTTTTGGTAACTTTCAGTTTTGCACTATGACTCACATCAGTGACCTCTTACGCCCTGTAATAGTTCTGTTGAAGTGAATAGGGGCTGCTTAGGCTTGAGGCTCAGCATCCATTCATCAGGCTGCATAGTTGTCTGTGTAAAAACTATGTATCAATTGCTCCCATCTTTAATAATAACATTTTTCATGTATGTGTTCAAAATTATAGCATTTAACAGCTGAAGGTATGTTATGTCTGTCAAAACCCTAATTTGTGGAGCTGTGTAGTTGTGTAGCCCAATGTTTTTTAATTAAATGGCCAATGTGGAGCAAAACTCTGTCCGAAATGTGAGAATGGCTGTATGCGTTTCATCAGTATTAAAATTCAGAAATTAATTATTTTATGTTTCTCTTCTTCCAGCGAAGCCAGTTACAGAGAGGCAGCCAGTTCTTCTAACACCAACAGGTAGCACAAGTACCAAAGTGGAACTCAGAGGAAATGTGCTTTTGTTGGAGTGCATTGCAGCAGGATTGTGAGTTACTTTTTAGACAGTGCTTTTCTAAATAAAAATACAGAAACAGAGGGAAGTATTTCAGAGATGCTTAAAATGTTACGACTGTATAAGCTAGATATTTCAAAGAAACAGAAATGTAAAATGGAAAGAGCTCTTTTAAGGAAGTCCACCATTTACTGGGGCATCAGCGGATTTTAAAACTAACTATGAACATAAATTTTATGGCCTTTGCTTTCTCATATCCCCAAACCCTACACACAGGGTTCAGGTTGTACCTGAATTGGTTTTTTTAAGGACACAAAGCAAGAAACGCCGTAGGGTAGCCTTGGATACACATCTGCAGGATGGCACTCAGGAACCAAGCCTCTGTTTTTTTTCCTAAATTTACAATCAGGCTTTCAAATTATATAAAAATAGATAAGAATCTGCTGGTCTAATCTGAAAAAGCTGCTCATATATACTAATAATTAATTAGTAGATCAGCTAGGTGGGAGTTGTTACAACATACCTTCAGCTCCTTGCATCTAATTTCTCATTGTAATTGAGTTTAATTGGTACTTATTTCTTTGAAGTAATGTGAGTTTGGTTCTGCTGGTTGTGTGAGTAGAAAAGGGCTAAAGAGCAATTTAACTTCATGAACTAGTTTGATCTTAAATCAGTTTCATTTTCAGGAGGAAATCTGAAAATAGATTGGTTAGTGAAGAAATGGAAAATCTTTAGTACTTATTTCAGGAACTTATTATAAACATGTTTACAGTGCACAAAAGCATATAATGCAGAGTGCTCCGAGGTAGCCATGAGGAAAGCCAATAATTGCAATGGGTACAGCACAGCAGTGTGCAGATGTATTCACTTGCTTAAGTTCCATCGCGCACACTCATGCACAGCTTGACACAGGCATCAGTGTCTGTCTCAGCTGTGATCTGCTCAGGTGTTTTCGCATCAGCACCACTAGCACCTGTGAGTGGGGGTAGCATCAGCTCAGGTAATCATCATCTGCAATATAGTTACATGCTTTTTGACAGCTCTGCAATAAAAATATTCAGTGATCCAAACTCCAGTAAAATGACTGCACAAAAACGGGGGAAAAAACCAGAATATTATATGTCTTTTTGTCTATCCATCATGTAATTTTTTAAAAAACTAGTTCAATGAGGGAAGCTTATGTAGTTGTCCACAAAGGGCCAGATTCAGATTTTAAGACAGGTATTCCTAATTACTGATATTATAATTGAAAGTCAACTTTGCTAGGTGTCTCTGTTATAAAATATGTGATATTAGTCTGCTAAGGGAATATTTGCCTTGAATCATTGCTATTTGAGAGAGGACGTTCTACTCAGTAAGCAACACCTTATAATTTCTTGTAACATTAAAATTATATTTCCATGTGTTTGGACAACTTTTGACTTCAGTGGACAACAAGGGGCATAGCCAAGATTTAGACATGGTGCAGTGACAAGTAGCTGTATTTGACTCAGCACTGACTTTTTTTCTTGATTTCTCATAGAAAATATTTCTGTCTCCTTACAGCTCTGCTGTAAAATTTATGATGTTCTTGAAGCGTTAGGATATTGCTCAAATGAAAGGCAATTATAAACTTGTCACCATCTAGAAAATACCGTTTAAAGCACCATGAGTATCAATTTAATAGTATAAGTGCAGTAAGATTTCAAATACACTTGCATTCATTTCTTAACCATCAGGGTTTTTCAATTAATCAGCAGACAAATGTATTCTATAATTATCAAGCCTACGAACAGATGGCCATTGACAGTGTTAGTGAGGCTTGCCATTTCCTAGAGAAAACTGCTGGCATATTATGCACATTTGCTGGACATGCCCCAAAGTCTGGGTAAAGGCTCTTAAGATAATTATTTGTAAAATATATGCTAAAAAAATTAATGCATTGAACTCTCGTGTTACTTTTCTCCAGTCCCTAAATTTGATCTGTGCTTTTGTTTCTCCAGACCCACACCGGTAATCCGCTGGATTAAAGAGGGTGGGGAACTGCCAGCCAACAGAACGTTTTTTGAAAACTTTAAGAAAACTCTCAAGATTATAGATGTTTCTGAAGCTGACTCTGGGAACTACAAATGTATAGCAAGAAATATATTAGGTTCTGCTCATCATGTCATTTCAGTAACTGTGAAAGGTAATACTAAAATAATCCTTAATGTAATATTGTTGGTGTCCAGAATGCAAAATTGAAGTAAACTTTCTAGGATAAAATATAGCTGAAAGGGTGAATGATATGAATGATAATGGTAAAAAAAAAAATCTTGAGGAAATTATCATAAACTGACTGAATACTACCACTGGAAGGACTTTCCCATCTCTAATATCTCTTCCTTTTTAAAATATATTATTTTGTGAAGTAACAAGATAGATTGAGACAGTAGTCTCAATTGCAGCAGTAGTAGATAATTTCTTAGCTTGTACCAATGCTACATTTATTTTAGATCCTCTGGTTAGCTGTCATTAGACTTATTTTTTCCCTTATTTTTGTATCTTACTCCCTCTCTCTCTTCTTCATCACCTTATTTTCTCTGTCTTTTCTGCTCTCCATTCGTATAGCCCAGATTCCCTCTCCTCTCCTCTCCTCTCCTCTCCTCTCCTCTCCTCTCCTCTCCTCTCCTCTCCTCT